ATTATGGATTCACATGGCTTCAAGTTACATATTAAACACATGGCTTTAAGTTACATATTAAGCATAGTATTGTTAATCTAATGTGTTCGCCGTAAATTGTTATTTTATATCCACACTTTCACGTCAATATTAGGATAATTTACAATAAAAATGGCAACACCAAAATATTTTTCATAGTAAACCAATTTTGCTTATATCATAAACATTATATGGGTAATCATGTAAAAACCTACCATTTAATGGTTATTTCAAAGTTTAAATGGTTCTAAATATTATAATATGTTTACATAGTTATCATTATTTATTTGTTGTAAAAATAATTATTTTGCAGAGAATCATTCTCAAATTCAAAATTGTCATAAACATATAAATGTTTAAGTAACTAAATATTGATGAAACTTAATAAAAATAACAATTTTTTGGTTATGACAACAAAATATTGTTACAAAAAACATAGAATAGTAGTCCTAACCATGCCGAACAATATTTTTTCGCTACGTGAAGGTGGTTAGACGTTAGTGGAAATCACTGTCTTTTTCGGATGCATTGACTCTATGTCGAACTGCATCGAATGTGTTTGTGAAAACAAGGCAGTACACAACAGTTCGTGCGCGTCATCATAATATAACAGAACATTAAATTTTGATACATGACACTAATGGGTACGGCATTTTCATTATGTCTCGAAGTTAGTAACACATATGTCGTTGTAATGATGTTATCCGTCTATGAAATTAGCTCCTTGAATTTCTTTGGAAGCGGTACATGCTAGAATAGGCTTTTTATAAAATTCGACTCAACAAATTTTACTATATATTGTTATATTGAGCTGTACATTCATCAGTTAAGCAAACATCAATCTCTTAAATATATGTAACTTTTACATTAAAAACTACTATATAACTTATTGCAAGTTACTCGCAATGTGGTAGGGTATGATGTATTCGGATACATTAACATTTCGATTTTTGGAGATTCTTCTATAACAGATTCCCAGATATACGATTTTTTGTATTTAATTCATATGTTGGGATCCCCCTATTAAAAGTCAACCAATTTATTACCCAAATATTTACATGGATGTCAGAGTTCTTCCTGCAAAATTTGATGATTCTATCTCTAGCAGTTTCCCAAATATACGATTTGTTGTACTTAATTCATATGGTAGGTGCCAATTCTCCCTAATGATAGTCCGCCCAATTTTTCCCAAAAGTTCACAAGTTTGAAGATTCTAGCTACAATAGTTTCCTAGAAAAACGAATTTTTGTACTTAATTCATATCGGAGGTACCCGCTCGTAAAATCAAGTCCGCTAATTTATTACACAAATATTGACATGGATGTCAAAGTTGTTCGTGCAAAATTTTAGAATTTTAGTCCGCTAATTTATTACACAAATATTGACAAGGATGTCAAAGTTGTTCGTGCAAAATTTTAGAGTTTTAGCTCTAATACTTTCTGAGATAAACGAATTGTTGTATTTAATTCATATAAGAGGTGTCAAGCCCCCCTTTGAAATTCCGCCCATTTCTCTCCCAAATATGCACATGGATGTTAAAGATCTTCGTGCAAAATTTTAAAAAAAATTATTTTCATATGAGTGACAACAAAGGAGCCTTATTTTTCCCTATATATTTGGTTTTTAGAAAATGAATTCCTTCGTAATAAACGAGGTAGATACAACTGTCAAAGTACACCATTTAGAGTTGCCACAATCCGAAAAAATGTGTACATCTATCTAAGGATTCATTATATTTTTAGGACAAAAAATTAATAAATAAATTTTATATTCATTTTAATCCGTAGTAAATTTATGCGAAATACTCAAAAATTGCACAAACTATTTGTCCTAAATATGCATCTATTTTATCAATTATAGGGAACATTTTACTAATCAATTGAGAGTACAAACATCCCACAATTGTAAATAAAATTATTAAAACTCGATTTTATCATAGATATCTTAATTTTTAACAACTTTCCATGGTAGTGGTTTGGTCACATTTCATAAAGATCATCATTATATATTTCTTATACGACAATAGTAGAGACCTACACGGTATTATAAGTTCCCAATACTGACTGATAAAAATAATATTATACATATTAATTTGTATTTTTGCTACTACTTACAATTTTGCAATCAGAAGTATCTACTTTTGTTGTTTTTGTAGAATTGACTTCACCTTATAAGTGCACCCTGGACAAAGGCATTTCGTTTGCTCAAAAAACGACGAAAATAATACCAAAATACGAAATAAAATGTGATCCCGAATGCAATTTGCATGACAAACCTTTAAATTTCGCATACAATTTTGATGTTGTTTTTCAAAATATATTTTTTCATAATTTTAATTTGTTTTGTAAATTTATTTTATTTTTGTTTATTTTTTAGGATTAATACCAAACACCTTATTACTACATGAAAAAATATATGAAAATTTCATAAATAAAATACATAGGCAATCATGTTTTGATACGATAGAAAAAGCTTATTTTACTTTTGATGCTTTTAAACGAAAACTTTCAAATGTTTTACGAAAATCAAAATTTAAACGTTATCGTAATACAATGTTCGTGTGAGAACTAAAATGTTTTAGAAAAACAGGCTGTAAAATAACCAAAATAACAATAACAAGTAAGAGTGCTATATTCGGCTGTGCTGAATCTTATATACCCTTCACCAAAGTGTATTTAAAATATATTAATTTTATAAAATTTATATTTATTTTATTTTCCGACTATATCATTATTATATCAATAGCAAAACAAAAGAAACAACAACAACACTAAACGAAATAAAACACACAAAAAAATACAAAAGGCAATGAAACCAACAGACATCCAAACATACAAAACGAAATACACAAAAAACAAAATAAACAACGCAATGCAACCAACAGACATCCAAACATCCACACATACATATTTTTTCAAATACACAGTGTTGTTGTTGCTTATTTATACATATGTAAGTTTTTTCTTATAAGCCACATCAGTTTTGATGTTGTTGTTTTTTTCTTGATTTTTTATGACATTTTCAGAGGTTGTCTCAGATTTTTGCTTATATCTCCGTTATTTATGGACCGATTTTAGGAACATATAGGAAACTTTTCGAAAGTATGTCTAACAGAATTTTTGAAGATTTGGATCCCGAAGATATTTGGGGACTTCAGAAAATTGATTTCAACAAACATACAGACGTACGGACACAGCTTAATCGACTCCGTTATCTATAAGGACTCGGATTACATACAGTGAGCAAAAAAACAACTTGTACACCTTTTAAAGTAAATAAAAGTTTAATTAAAATTGCAATTATTTTAACAATATGGGAATAATAATTAAAGGAAATAGTCTTTCTTTTTAAATGCATATTTCATTTTTTATTTTTTACTTAACGCAGAGAAGATTTCTCTTATGATAAGAGAAATTACGGCAAAAAAAATCTGTGTTTATTTAAGTCAATCTGCTGTTTTTTTAAAAATTACGAAAAAACAAATGTCGAAAGATTAAAAAGAAATTATTATAAAACTACATAAGGAAACTAAATCAATACGTGAAATCGCTAAAATAGTGAATAAACCACATAGTACGGTTCATTATGTTATAAAAACATTCTAAACAAATGGATCTTTGGAAAGACCTAGTGGAGGTGGCTGCCCAAAAAAATTAACACTGCTCAATTTGAAAGGAAAATACTTAATTTTATGAAAAAAGACCCGAAAATTTCCGCTGTAAAAATAGCAAATGATTTAAAAAAGTCCGAAATAGTCGATGTGACTCCACAAACTGTAAGGAACTTCCTGCACACCCATAATTCAAAGGCATACGCAGTTCGTAAGAAACCTCTTCTTTCTAAAACAAATATAAAAAAACGATTTGCGTTTGCCAATGACTATGTGAACAAAAATATTGATTTCTGGGAACAAGTAATTTTCACTGACGACTCCAAATTTAAGGAAGGAGAAGCGTTAAATCCACGTAATATTACACATACCATTAAACACGGAGGTGGAAATGTAATGGTTTGGGGTTCTAGGAGTAGGAATAGGGAGTAGGAAACCTTGTATTTGTAGAAGGAAAAATTAACAAAACAGACTATTTAAATATTTTAAAAAATAATTTGGTACAATCTGCCGAAAAGATGGATTTAGAAAATGGTTTTGTATTCGTATAAGACAACGATCCAAAGCACTCGGTTGCTTTAGTTAAGGAATGGTTGCTTTACAAAACCAAAAAAGTTCTTCCTCACCCTCCCCAAAGCCCAGACTTCAATCCGATAGAGCATTTGTGGGCTGACATGAAAACCAAATTGAAAGATTGCCATATTTCCGGGAAAGAATCCCTCAAAAATGCTCTGATGGATATATGGAACAGTATTCCCGCCGATGTAACAAGGAATCTGGTGCATTCAATGCCAAGAAGAATTCAGGCTTTTATTATAGTTTTAAGACTGTACAAGTTTTTTTTGACGGCGAATATTGGCATACTTCTGTTTTCGTTTTTCTTTATATATAATACATAATTATGAAAATTAATTTAATGTACAATTAAATATGGATCTCAAACTTTTTTTATTCAATAAATATAAAACTATTGTCATACTTTTTGCCTTATATATAAATTTGTTTTAATTTTTCAAGTGTACAAGTTTTTTTTTTTTTTTTTTTTTTTTTTTTTGCTCACTGTATATCTATAGGGTCGAAAAATTATATTATAGAAATTACAAGCGGAATGACAAACTTATATATACTCTTTTTACGAAGGTGAAGGGTATAAAAATACACGTGTATTAAATTTACACAGTACCTGTACATGTGAGAGAGTAATATTTCTTATGCTCACTTTTATTTCAATGTTATTAAGCTAAGTTAATTACTAATTTCAAAATATAAAAATTTATGAAAAAAATAATTTTGAGTCGATCTCGGCCGAAATCCTGAAATTATTTTATTTCGTTTGTTCTGGTCAGGAATTTTATGCAAATATGATATTTACCTTAAAGCATCCGCTGGTGTATGAACTGGTTTTATTGATGCACCTACTATTGATATTTGTCCATTTTCATTTTCCTGTATTTTAAAATTTTTTTTCTTGTTGTATGGGTCTAAAAGATCGATTATTTCTTCATTGTATAATTCAATGAACTGGATTGCAACACTAAATTCTGTATTAGCATTATCTGGGTTAAGTTGAATATTATCTTCAATTCTGGAAAATATATGATGAACAGCACGGGGTATTATACCTTGTTGTTGTTCGGATAATTCATAGTCAAATCCTGAGCCCATAGTGTAAGTTTTACCTGAGCCAGTTTGTCCATATGCTAATACTGTAGCATTTAAACCATGTAAGGCTCCTTCAACAAGACGAAGCACACATCCATCATATACATCCACCTAAAATAAAAAGCAATATTTAAAATATTTATATATGTAAACTAGACATACCAAAAAGTATACAAATAAACGAATTATTCTTTGCCACGCCTCCAAATACAAAATTCAAAATTAAATAAAGGAATAAACTCCCCAAAACAAAAAATTAATTAACTCCTCAAATATGCGGACTTATTTTATTATGAAATAACTCCCCAATTTTAAAATTAAAAAAACCCCAACGAAATGAAATAATTCCCTAATAAAAAGAAATATGCGGACTTATTTTATTATGTAATAACTCCCCAATTTAAAAATGAAAAAAAAAAAAACCCCAACGAAATGAAATAACTCCCTAATACAAAGGAATTCTCGAGGATTTATTTCATATATCCCTAATTTATTTCCTAATCCCTAACTTTAAAATGAAATAATTTCCCATTTAAAATTTCGAAATTTTGAGATAAAAAAATAACAAATTATATTATAAAAAGTAGGTCGCGCATACTTTCGAATGGGGCTCCAAAGTTTGATACATTTCAGTTTAGTCGCTTAATAAAGATTTCCTAAATTGCCGGCCTATGGCCGGACGCAAGGACTTTCTCCTCTATGGTATATATATATATATATATATACATATATAAATACGCAAAGATTTTCCACTCTATAATATGACCAACACCGGCTTCGCTTAGTAAAGATATCTCAAATAGCCGGCCTAAGGCCGAACACTCTTGATACAGGGAGAGTGTATTCTTAGCGAAGTCGGTGTCCAATGTACCCCAGAGGATAAAACCCTTGCGCCCGGCCAAAGGCGGGCTATTTCGTGTGATAAAAGTTATATAATGAAATAAAATATTTTTAGGGATTTATATCATTTTTGAATTTTGAAGAATTATTTCATAATGAAATAAACCCCCATTTTAAATGTGAATAAATCCTGTTGACTATAATGTTATTTGTATTTACTGTAAATACTTTGTATGATAATTTTTGTAGTAAACAGTTCGAATAATGTATTTTATGAATTGTATACTTTTCAAAGATTTTCACTTCAATAAAAATCTTTATATAAGTTAAGAAAAATAAAATTGTTACAAATAATAAATAAAATAAATAAAAATTCATTTACCTACCATTCAATAAATTGCTGACTAGTGTCTTATAATTTAAGCAATAGTTCATTTACTTACTTACCTTTCGTAAATTAGCTGACAAATGTCTGCAATATCAAATTTCATGTTAAAAATAAATTGCAAGATTGTTTTGAAATATCTAAAATTGTACTTTAGTTATTAAGAATAAAATAATTTATTAATAAGCAAAATTTGTAATACAAAGAAAGAATTAGAGTTTGGGGTTCGGGAATTCCCGGACGGGAAATTTTTGTCGGGAATTCCCGGGAAATTTTTTAAATATTCCCGGGAAATACGGGAAATTTTAAATTAATGTATTTTTGTCCACTTTTTTGTAAAAACTAGCGATATTTAAATTTTCAACGATTTATAACAAAAAATAAATTAAAAGTGTTGCGATTTCATAATTTGTTAGCGATTTTGGTTATTGGTAAAGTTTGCAATACTGAAAACATCAAACAAATCAAAACAAACAAAAAAATTAAAGTTGTTGGCGCATTGTTTATTTTTATTTTGTAAAAATATAAATTAATGTAAAACTTTGGAAACAACTAAATTTAAGTACACGTAAGTACATATATAATAAAATTAATACTTAAATACTACATATTTCTATTATTAAAAAGAATGTCGGGTGTATGGAAACATTTCTCAAAAGTCGACCAAGGTGCTCAGTGTAACATTTGTCCGAAGAAGCTAAAAACGAATGGAGGCAGCACAAGTGGGCTTATCCGACACCTTTCTATTGTACATAAATTAAAAATTGACAACCAAACAACTCCTGAACAAAATAATATAACATCAAAAGCCAGTCAAATTATTCCTCCACGCCGTGAATCATTAGAAATTACAAGTTTCTTAGAAACTGAAACACTGCCAGCACAGGTTTCAAAATTGGCAGCCTTAGATGGTCTATCAATACGTACGATAACAAGAAGCTCATTCATCCGAGATAGTTTTTCTAGATTGAATATGCCATTACCAAAAAATGAAACCGACGTAAAAAATATAATTTTGAAATATTACAAAAATGTAGCAGACAGCATTATAAAAGAAATTTCAATTGAAATTTAAAAAAATGGAAGATTTTCATTAGTATTAGATGAATGGACAAACGTTTCACAACGAAGATTTCTAAATATATGTTTACATGGTAATGGATCATTTTACAATTTGGGATTAGTACCTATAACAGGAAGCTGTAATGCAAATAATATAAGAATGTTGGGGGAAAAACGTCTAGAAGATTTCAATTTGTGTTTTGAAAGTCACATTGTAGCAACTATATCCGAAGGACCCAATGTGATGAGACGGTTTGTGGCAGATAGTCCGGTAGAAGGCATTTTTTGCTGGAATCATTCCATTCATTTGGCCGTATTAGAAGTTATTTATATTAAAAAAAAAACAGTTGTACTTGTTCTGAAAGTGAATATGATTATAGTGATGAAGGGGTCGAAATGGAAATGTATGATATTGTTAGTATGTTTATTGTTTGAACCTTTTTCAAATTACAATGTCATCAAAAAGTTATAAAACCAATTTTGACACATTTAGTTTTATAAACAAGGATAAAAGTAATTACCTAAACTAGTAAATATATTAGTCAATAAACTAGTTCATAAAAAGGTCAATAGACTAGTCTGTAAATTACTCTGTAGACTAGTCAATAGGCTGATATGTAGACTAATAAATATACTGTTCTGAAGACTAATAAATAGACTGGTCTGTAGACTAGTCTACAGACTAATCATTGACTACTCTTTTAACTTGATTGTGGACTAAAATCATTTAAAAAAGTTGTATTGAAAAATTTAATCAGAAAAATAGTTCTTTGTATAAATTGAATTATTTTCTTTATTTCAGAGAATTATAATGAAGCTATTGATAAAATAAGGAAAATAATCAAAATGTTCAAAAAAAACCCCTTTAAAAAATGCCACTCTTCAAAAATATGTAAAGGAAGAATTCAATAAAGAGTATCATCTAATCCTAGATATACGAACTAGGTGGAACAGTATGGTTGGCATGATACAATCATTTCTAAAAATTAAAAATGCAATAAAAAAGGTTTTAATAGATTTACATTTATCATCATTGTTTGTTGAAGATTATGTCCCACACTTGGAAACATTGGTAAACGTTTTGAACCCTATAAAAGATGCAGTGGAAGCATTAGGCAGGCGTGAAACCAATTTGATAATAGGTGATGCTATTATGAATACACTTTATGAACAGTTATTATCTGTTGATTCTATACTTTCGGAAAAAATGGTTCACACAATAAAAAGTAAAGTAAATGAAAGATATAACGACAAATTGATGTCATTAGTAAATTATATAAACACTTCACAACACAATAATATTAACATAACAAAGACAATGTTAAAATCCTATGCAGAGCAAATGTACAAACGCATATTCCAAAGTACTGAAATAACATCGGCTGAAAGTGATGAAGATATTTCCGCTGTACAAGTATATCAATGTTTTAAAGAAAAGTTGGAAAACGCCATTAATGGGGCTAAAGAAAAAACAAGAAATCCGAAATTAAAAACAGACAACTAAAATCAACTGTAACCAAATAAAAAACAACAACAAACATCAACAATAACCAAGAACGGTCTTCTCATAACGAAACAGAACATAGATCAGGGCATAGAACGCAATAACGACTTAACAGACTTAGTCAAAATACCTGACGTTGTAAGATCTCTTAGAGAATTTTCGGGCAACAAGACTGAATTTAGTTCATGGAAAAAAAGTACAGAAAGAATACTGAAAATTTACGAACCTCTTAGAGGAACCGCTAAATATTTCGGAATACTTAACGTAATTCGAAATAAAATTGTTGGCGATGCTGATATCGCCTTAGAAAGCTACAATACCCCACTTAATTGGAAAAGTATAATAAAATGCCTGACTGTTCATTATGCAGATCAGCGTGATTTAGGTACCCTTGAATATCGGTTGATATCAATGATCCAAGGTAACAGCTTTGTACAAGATTTTTATAAACGAATCTACGGTCATTTGTCATCAATACTAAATAAGATTGCATTCTTAGAAGAGAAAATTATAGAAATAAAGCACTTGACACTTTTGTCAGAGGCTTAAGAGGTGATCTACCCAGATTACTAGGCATTAGGGAACCAAAAGACTTGCATGAAGCTTTACACTTATGCTTGAAGTTAGACAACAAACAATTTAGAACACAACAGGCACTAACAAAATTCCGCCTCCTATTCCACATAGAAAATTTAACAACACCTATCAAAACCAACAATTCTATCCACAACCAGCACATATTCCCCAACCCACAGGGGGCAGAATCGAAATTTTTTGGAAATAAATCTGGTATTTCTAAACGGCTGATCCGATCGGTGTGAGCGTAGCCAAGGAGTATTCGAGTTTAAGTTTTGAAGATGAACCCCGCAGATGCCCCAGGGACGGCGCTGTGGCGGCTCAAAGTAGGGTACCTACGACATGTAAAATTGTTAAACTCGTGCCATTTTTTTGTTTTTCATCCAAATACAAAGATTTTTATATTTTCTGAAAGCGCTCGACGCTTTCTTATCGCTTACTTATCTCTTATAATATCCGAGTTATAGGCATTTAAAAATTTAGTGATACAAAATTTACCATACCTTGGTCCGCCTTTTTTTGAATACCGGGCGTAATTTTGGACCAAATGTACGTAATTTTGGACCAATAATATACAAAAAATTTCAGATCAATATCATTTACAGATCCAAAAATATACGTTTTTTAATTTAAAAATTCAAAAAATTTTAGATTTTTGCCGTTTTTTTGCCAAAAATGTGTCTTAACTCTTTTATTAATAAAATAAAATTTTCTTTAAAAACATATAACAATTTTATAGTTTTC